CCATTGATGTTGGCCAAATTGGAAGCAGTAACTGCAGTGCAAAATGGCCAGTGCTCCTTTTCAAGCCCATGAGCTRTCGCTTCTCTCTATACTCTTATTTTCTTAATGCACTAATGCTTTATTTTCAGTTCTTAAATTTTGAACTCTACAGTGATGASAGGAGACAGTGATTATTAGAAGAATTCCTGTGAAAAGCACTCAAATCCCTGTCAATAGTGAACTCTATCATGAAAGCGTTAAATGTGTTTTGTCGCCTCTGAACCAGATTCTGCTTTTAACTATTTGTGAAACTATGTATTCCTTGCCTTGATAGCTAATTTCCAGCAGTGAGGATGTGAGAGCATCACCTACCACCATCATTGTCACCGCATCGCTGTGCGGCGTGGAGAGACTTCAGCCTCAGCCTCTTGTTTTGCTTTATTGCAGCCAGAATAAAAGCTGCCTCTTAGGGCCTCTCTGCTTGATTTAGTTGTTTATGTGGTATCCTGACAATCTGAAACGTCTTTGTAAATGGTGATATTTAAAGGGGGAATTCTTTTAATTTACTTGTGCTGAAAGGAGTTTGAGGCTTTTTTCTCACCAGTGTGTCCATCGCTAATTTTAATGTTCCTTTTTTCTCCACCTGCTTTGGAAGGCAGTTTACCATGAATTTTGTGTTTTCCTATAGTTCCATGTCAAAGATGCTCTTGAAATAAACTTAAAGCTTTCAGGCAGTGTAATGAAAGAAAATAGCCTTCTGAAGGGAACTACCACTAGGCTTTGATAGGACAGATCAGGAGTTAAAAATCAATGTGAACTGACTTGACGCAAAAGCTTGTGACAGATTTTTTTTTCTTTTTTTTTTTTTTTAATTGGCTTGTATTTATTTAGATCTTTACCTCTGGAACAGAGACAAGTGCATATACATGATGATGCACTGAAATAATGCCTCAGAGGAGGAGTATATGATAATATGCATAGCAAAGCACAAGTGGAGAAAATGCATTGTCCTTTTCTGTACAAATTTGCTAGCATTCTGCTCACTGTAGATTTTGAAATTGTTGGAAATGAAGCAGTGATTCTTTCCAAGTCTTTATTTCCAGAAGGTGTCACTGTGCTGCTGCTTCGTGAGTAATGGAAGGTTGTGCTCAGCAGGAGGTTTGGATGAAAGATTCCCTAATAACTCCTTAGTAACTTTGTTGTCTGTTCAGCAGTCTTATGTGTGTGAATTTGAAACTGAAGAGCACTTAAAACAGCTCCCGCTTTCTTCCTTCTTTCAGTTTCTGAAATCTGTTTCTCAGAAAATGAGGCATAGGCTGTTCAGTCACTTGGAGCTTTCACAAAAATAGATGAGGAAAATTTAGTGCTGGGGATGTGGTATTAGGACAAGGTATTTGTGTTACCAAATTACAAATTCCCGAGGTATTTGTATTTGTTTCATTCTTATTTCCGTTAGTAACTCACCGTGTAACTACTGAATGATATCTTTTTAGTGAGTGTAAATCTTAACATGTATGTTGTTGTTGGGAGAATCTGTTTCCTCGGAGGTATTTCAGAAGTAACRAGTGTTTTTTTTCTTAAGCATTGCTCTAATTAATTCACATGATTTTTATAGTGTCTATGGAGAATCTGTAATCATCCTTTTTTTTCTCTTTTAACTGTAGATCTCTCTAAAGTGAAGCTGATGAGGTTTGATGATCCCATCCTTGGACCCCGTCGTGTTCCAGTCCTTGGTAAAGAGGAAGCTGAGAAAACTCCTATTCTAGAGCAAGCAGTTTTCCATATTGACCTGGCTGAGAAGCGTGTTTGTGTAACTGAGAACGGCCTGACAAAGGATATTGGCAACACAATTGTCTATCTGGTTCATTAAGTTGGTGCCTACCTGGCTCAATCACTGACGCTGAAAAGTTTGTAGAGTGACTTTGAAGGCATCTGTAGATGAGTATTTGTTCTCCTTTTTTATTTTTTAAAGAACTTCAAACAAGTTTTGTGTGTAAGTTCACTTCTTTTAGACATGGTTAAAATAAATTTATTTTCCTCCTGCCACTTGGTTCTTCTTGGGGAAAAAAATGTTTTTTTCCAGCTGCTAACAAGACAGATTCTCCTCTGCGAATGTGGCCTGCCTACTACATGCAGAGTTCCTTCCCTCTCCAATATGCTGTGTTCTGTCTATAGAAGATGGTTATAGATCTCTTGTACTAGAGGAGAGGAAAATATTGCTTGAACATTTCTATATTTGTCTTTTCAGTGACTGAAATGACTTTGAATGTAACTAGGGCATTTTATGTCAACTTAGCAGTTGAGAAATAATTCCACGCTGAAGAACTCCRAGGCAGAACTTAAATATGAAAGTTTCAGGGCTTTTTTCAGCTCCTATAATAGACATAGATACGAAGTGCCTGTAGCAAAATGTTAAAACCAGAATCTTTCCTTCTTATTTTGTTCATAAAAGTGTTTGCATATGTGTTTTAAGTGGAAAGGTTAAGTGTTTTTTCATAGATCTTTAGACTGTCTTTGTGTCTGGTAATTTCCAGTCTCTCAAGTTCATTTTTTGGGGCCTGGCTCAGCACAAACAATGGATGAATTCCCAGAGCAGTGACCTGGCGGGCGGCTGGTGACAAGCAGATCCCTGTGCTGCGCGCGGTGCCCGGCGGCTGTCGGAGCCTCCTGTGCGTGCAGTGGTGGTGGGGAGGACGCGGCGCTGCTGCGGCCGCGCTCTGCCCTCCCCTTGGTATCCCCTGCAGAAAGCAGCCTCTGTTTGGGACCCTGCCGTGCAGGTGCACGTGCTCTCTGCTGATCCCCTGCCGTGCTCACGCTGCTCCGGGCATTCCCTGTCAAGAGGAAGAGGAGCCGCCAGCCTGGGGCGCTCACAACGGGCCTGGCCCCTGGGCAGCAGCTCCCGTTGGGGCAYGGCTCTGCAGCAGCGTCTGGGGACGGGAGCTGCCGGCCGGGACCCTGCGAGGCCTTCCAAGCTTCTGGAATGGCACCAGGTAGTGCCACATGTCCCCGGCAGTGGCGTCTGCCTGCGGCTCTTGTCGCTGCAGCCTCGCCGAGCAGGGACCGCTGGTCACATCGTGGTCTTGTTCCCTTGGGGCTGCCGGTACTGGGCGCAGCTGATCCCGATCCACATCCCTTCACTGGCACCAGGAGCCGTGGGTGGCCCCGCACAGGAGCACGGGATGGAGCACACGAGTATTGCAGCTGGAGTGAACGTGAACAGCTCTGCAGAGCTTCAGGTAGGAAAGCGAGCTCCAGGCCAGCAAGCTCCAAGGAATGTGTTGTCGGAGCTTGGAAACACAGGAGCTGTCCACCCTATTTGCCTTTTGTTTGTGCTTCCTTCACCAAAGGTCTGCTTGGGAGCGTCCTTGCCGGCGGGTTGCTGGGCTCCACATCCCTTACCTGCCTGATGGCTCTTGCGGCACTGCACAGAGTCCTGATGAGCTCAGGAGCAGAGGGAGCCCGAACCGGGGAGCGACGGCGGCCCCGAGGGAGGCACCAGGTGCTGCAGACATCCCTGTGGTGCCGCCGCGACCGCCCCATCCCGCGGCGGGAGGCAGCGCCCCTGATCCGCGCGTGGCCGGCGAGTGGGGCTGGAGGCGCCCGCGGGACTAACCCCTCACACCGCCCGGGCGCCCTTCCCAAAGGGCTCCGCTCACCACGCGCAGCCGCCTTCGCTCCGGCCGGGCAGCACCTCTGTTGGTTCTGATCAGCAGGTCCAGGATACAGCTAATGAGGCGCCGGTCCCTGGGCTCTTTCCTGCAGCTCTTGGCTTCCAGGAGGTGCCACTGCTGCGCTGCTCCGCGCGTTGGCTGCAGCGCCTTCCTTCTCCCCGTTGCTGACAAAATTCTGGCCTTGCCAGTCTCCGTGTTACGATTTGGGTTAGATTCTCTTTCCTGGGAAGCAAAGGGGTGTGTATGTGGTGTTTGGGTGTGTATGTGCACAGTTTTGTTTGTTTTTACTTTTGTTTTTACCTTTTCACTATTTTTTTTGTTTTCAATTGAGCAAGTTTTTGAAGTATATAGTTTTGCAGCTATAGAGTAAAGAATAGGCCTCTTGCTCTCATTTCCTGGCTTGTCTAGCRTTCTGTTATACTGCCACAGGATATTTCCTTTAATTTGTCAATGCRCTTCCATTTTCTTCTTTCCTGAAACACACACGTTTATGTTCAGAAATGTTATGAAATATGAATAAAGAACCATTAAAAGGTTCCGTGGAGCAGCAGGTGACCTCGCCTGCATCGCTTCATGGCCAAACTGCGTGAAATCTGAACCTGCACTTCAGTTTATTTTTAGATTGCTGAAGATGGAAAGTAGATTTTCTTCCTTCCTTTGCCGGTTTATCCCAAGTGAAGCATCTCTGATGGTGCTTCTCTGCCTAGCCCCTGGCATGCAAKAAATCCTGCAGTTTGAGGTCAGGTTGTCTTCTGCAGCATCCTGCTGAAAGTGAGTTCACGTCATCAAGGCCAGTGCGGGAGACCTTCAATATCAGACACGAAGGTCTGTCCTTGGTGTGCGCCGCGTGCCTGCTGCACCCGCACCTGACAAAYTGGGGTTTCACATGAATCAAAGCAAAAAAAGCCCCCCTGCTCTGCTGGATTTCCCATTCTGTTAGCCAAGTGCCGGGCCACCTTACTGGGCTAACTGCTGAGATTTGAACTTGGCATATTTCAGCAAGGAAGTTTTTAAAAGAAAAATGTGTTCTCAGCTGCCCTTATGAAAGTGTAAAACTGCCCTTAATTTCTTGTCTGCTCGATTTATCGTTGCCCTTCAAGATTGGTTCAGTAGAATAATTGTAGAGCTTTTTGCCAGCCGTGGCTATACCTGTTTTCTCCTTGGAAGAATTGATGGGTTTCTCCTGTTTCTGTTGTTCCTGCACACACTGTAGGGGTTCCCCGGCCATCGGCACTACTGTGACATCAGGCGCGGAGTGCTGCGATGTCAGCACCGTCCAGGTCGCTCCGCGTTTCGGAGCAGGTTTCTCCTCTTCCTGCTCGTGGCCGAAAGGCCCTGCTCCGTTTCTGGATGAGCATCTCCTTGGCTGAGATCCGGTCGCCCTTCGTCCTTTCCTGGGTAGCACCTGAGGACGGGGCCTCCTTCCCCTCTCGAGTCAAGTAAGGAGCAAAGTAAGGGCTCTGTTCCTTGTCTGACACTACAAACCCGCTATAAGATATATCTAAATAAAGGTGCCACGTAGCTGGTACACTGATGTACCTTTTTCCCTGTATTTTCAAAGGATCACTGCTAATATTGGTCAGTTCCTGGACTATTTGTGGGGTAGTGGGAGACGTTCACCCTGCTGCAGGGTGGTGGCACTGATCTGGTTGCTGTCAAAGGAGCATTGCAGGCATCTGCAGCCTGAAGGCATCAGGAAAAATAAATTAATGTTTATTAATGTTTGTTTTCCTTCCCAATGCGCAGGAAGGAGCCTGTGACGAGCCAGCCGGGCAGCGGGGTTGGTGTGTCTGCCGTCACAACGGTCATGTGGAGCGGCGGGGCCTGGAGCACCGGCCTCTTTGACGTCTGCACCGACAAGAAAGTTTGTAAGTGTTGGCGTGGCTCCCTTCTGCCCTTCCTTGAATGCGGCTGTTGTTCCTGAAGCAGAGAAATGCTGAGATAATAACAAATTGGGTTTTGTGCCCTCTTTCCTCAAGGCTTTATTTTGGGTGGAGGAACTCACCTTACCTTCTTCCAGGTTTCTTTGTCTGTCATCGTACGTTAGGAGGAGAAAAACATCGTTCTTAATTTGCATGACAGATGCGAGTTGGATTCAAGGCACAGAGCACGGCAATATTGCTTTCTGACAGCAATTTTGTTCTTTCATTTGACATCCCTTTAAAAGTTGGGCTAATCTGATGTAGAAAGATCTATAATGTTTGGATCTATATATGTGGCAGTAGGTGTTTGTGATTGTTCACATGTCTCCTAACTGTCCTCTAGTTGTTTTGGGATTAAGCAGCTTAGGCCAGAGTAGTGGGCTATTGCCCCAGCATGGTTTTATTTTGCTGTGTGCAGTCCAGCTGGATGCAGACAAGTGGTACCCGGGGTGGCAGCAGTTTGTTCTGCACCTTGAACAGCTGCGGGCCTCCAGGAGAGAAGGCCACTGGGTTCTGCCCAATTTTCCAGTTAGTGGATCTCTTTAATTCCAGTTTTCATCTGGGTCAATTGGACCTAGAAAGGTTCTGTGAGGACCAGTTAAAACCGCGAGCGCATCTCTGACCTCCAGACCTCTGCCCTGCAGCATGAACAGTGTTTTCTTCAATGTGTTTCATTTCTCATCGCAAGTTGGGTGGGAGGGTTGAGATGCTCTCATTTTTGAGCCTTTGGCATTTTCAAAATAAAAAAAAATCACTGGAATAATGCAGGAATTTCCAAGGTTTATGATGAGGTTATCAGGAGGCCTTATTTAATTACAATCATATTCTGTTTAAAGTGCTGTCAGTATTATCATGAAACAGACTTAAACAGTGTGATTTCATAGTAAAGGTCCTGGAACATCAGTTCTGCTGAAGCAGTTTTCCCAGGTGAATTTACTCCTGATCTGCAAACCAAGGTGATTTAAATAAATTGCAAGAGACTGATAGCAAAACATTCCTGAACATGCCTGAGGCAGAAATAGTGCGAGAGCTGACGTGCCCAAAGGAGAGTCAGCATCGCCCCGCTAGATGCTGTGAGGATGATGCATTTTACCCTCTGCTGCTCTGTTTCCCTGGAAAGGTGCCTCCTAGATGATGCAGTCTGCACGAGCGCTGGGGACACAGCTAGAGAACTTTTCCCTTCATCCGGATAGTAGCACCGTTTGCACAGGCAGTGGAGATGGTCCCTGGAACCTGTTGTGTGCTGGGACTATACCCCAGCTTGGATATAGTATTTGCCATGAGTATGAGAAAGTTGGAATTCAAGCAAGGTTTTGAGGGGGATTAATATGAGATGGAGGGAAATACATGTGGCTGTCACTATCTAAGACAAAAAAAGTTGGTTTATTCCACGTATAGGTTGACTACTGTAAATTCAGGATTAAAGGTCCTATTCCCAGGTAGAAGACTGTCAAGAACTGTTTATTCATTTATTTGAAAGCAGCAGAGTTCAAAAACCTCATTATTTAGAAGTGACCTTCAGTGCCAGTTGTAGAGGGCAAATGTTTCAAAAGATTTTTCCTATCTGAAGAGCAAGGGAAGGGGAAGAGGAACCAGAGCCCGGGGCACYGGTAGGACGAATAAAGCTGGTGAAAACCAACCCTCCTCCCCAGTGTAAATCTGCAGGGCTTCTGATGCCAGCTCGGCCCCTGTCCTCGCGCCAGCTTCTGGACACGCRTGGTGCTGCTGGCGGGGCCGTGGAGCGGGATCCTCACGGGCKGTCCCTGTGCTTGGTGGCAGGTGCCTGCGGCTCCCTCTGCACCCYGTGCCTGGAGTGCAGCCTGGCCCGGCGCGCCGGCGACTGTTTGTGCCTCCCTTTGCTCCCGGGCTCCTCCTTGGCGCTGAGAGTTGGTGCCCGAGAGAGGTACAGGATACGCGTAAGTCTGGGCGTGAAGGACTCTCCTTCTGAGGCTGTTTCCCGGGGCGCGCGTGGCCACGGGGTGCCCCGGCCCCCAGGCCACGCGTGGAGGCAGAGCCGGATGCATCAGCGCCCTGCAGCGCGGCACCGTGCGGCCCTCGTG